TGAACAGGTAAAAGAATTAGCGTGCATTTTCTGGACTATAAACCAGAGCAGCTTTGACTAAACTTTCCCCAACCAGGTACTCCCAGAAAACTGACAATTCGGAGGCAGAAAGCGGGAGAAACAAAGACAGCAGGGCAATTCCTGACGAACAGAAAAACTCCGGCCGCTGGCAGTCAATGTCAATGTCATTGCCCACGTAGCGCCAAGGAGGGTCCAGGCCGACCACAAACTAAGGCCAGTTCTTACGTGGACGATCTGGAAGCAGGTTCTCTTCATACTACCCCGGTGGCAACTTAACCGGGCACCTCCAGACCAGGAAAACCCCAATGACTGTGCGATCACCAAGGGGAATCCATCACTAGCTTGTGACTTCTAACAAGGCCTATGCTGCTGTAACATTATATGCTTCAGGGCAAACGTTACAAGGAGGGGTTCTTCAAACTAAAATGGCAGCTCGCAAAAATGAACGCTACTTTTCTATTTTGAACATGGATCACACTCCCCGATCCACGGTCTGAAAGAAAATTTTGATTTATTCCCGTTTTTCCCGGAGCCGATGGGCAGAAATGCTTGCATTGTTTAAGGCGCACGAAGACCCCGAGCCCATCGCGGTGATAAAACACCATTTCCCCCACCAGTCCCAACACAACACTGAATTGCAACACAACATCCCGGTCCTCTCCGTGTGTTGAAACGTGTGTCAGAGAGTGACACGAGAGAAAAAAAAGGCCGCACTGGTCTCTTACCTATGGTGGAGATGAAGGTGGTGTTGAACGCGTCGTCGGAGAAGCGGAACAGCACGCAGGTCTTTCCCACGCCCGAGTCTCCAATGAGGAGCAGCTTGAATAGCAGGTCGTACGTCTTCTTCGCCATTTAAATCAAGGTTTGTGGGGTTTGGGTCGTTTTAAAATAGTGACTCGATCGAAAGAAAAGAACTGCACACACACACAATAAGATTAAATGGATCGTTTAAAAAAATCAATCTACCGATACAACTCTTCTCCTCGGAAACTACAAAACACGGGGTGCAGCACGGAGTCTTTCCGGATCTGAGCTTCTCTTGTCCTTGAAAGGCGTTTTATTTAAATATTTTCCTCCCAATTTTAGCTCCGTTCCCCCCACTTTCTTTCTCTCAGTCGGGACAAAATGGCTCCCCCTCTCAACCCGACTTACTCTTTCTTCTAACTACTATTAGCTATTTCAAATATTCGGCGTCCCCAAACATGCCAACCACTTCTGATCTTGGGATCGGAAACACGATATATTTTTCGGGAAAAGTTTGCAGTGCGATTAGCGCTATCCGCAGCTGCGTTCGCCCTTTTTATCTTTATTCGAAGCTGAAACACAGACGACCGCCGTCGCCTTCGAATAGAGCCCCCTAGGCGACACCCTGGATTCGAGAACACGCCTCCTCCCCGCCCCTCGCCTCTAGAGTCGGAAGCTGACTTGCTATTCATCCTGCCTTTCAAAGAGGCGTCGCATTATGATGGGCAGTTCAGGTCAGTCGTCATGCCCCCAAGTAGGCGTAGCCCCCGAGCTCATATGTTACAAAGGGCAAATGACTGGTACTCGCCCCTTTCCGACATGTCGGCTCTGTGTGTTTTACGTGGGCACGTATGCAAGTATGTAAGTGGGTTGAGCCAAAATGGCTCCTGTTTCGCTAAGGTCTGTATTGATCTTTGAAACCCCGTGGGGCGTGTTGTCTCTGGTTTTTTTTTCCCGTATCTGGTGACGAATTTAACACGAACCGAGCTGAAATTAAAACTGAATGATGTCATTCCATAATGTAACTTACATTGTAAGGCGCAGGCGTGTTTCAGATCAGCAGACACGTTGGGGCGGATCATGAGACCTAGAACGGGTTAGTTAGGTCTTCTCCTAGGTAGCGTGGGGGTGTTTCCCTCGAAGGTAGTGACAAAAATCGTTGGCTGGATTTTTTGTGTGTGCATTTTTCTCACTTAAAGTATTCATTACCATATCACAATACAGCAGTTGCAGTGATTGACCACGATGCATTGTAAATTCCAGTTTATTTTCATGCAAAATATTCCAGCCTTTTGACTTGGGATTCAATGTTTCATAAAAGTAGTTTTGTCTCCTCCATAAGGCGAAACCTCGATAGTCTCCAGTCAAATTTAAAATTCAAAGATCAAAGTAGTCATTATATTTCCAAGATTGTATTGTTAAGTGTTTGAGTTACCTTCTAGAAACAGTTATTGGATTAAATAAAAATAAGATAAGATCACATGATTAACCACATACAATTTCTTGCATTAGGAATTTGTCTTTTCGCATACCCTAGATTGCTCTCCAGGAGACACACAGATAGGGAGAGAGAAGCCTGGGGTCAGAGCACAGGGTCAGCTATTGTACAGCGCCCCTGGAGCAGTGGGGGTTAAGGGTCTTGCTCAGGAGCCCAACGGCGCACCCGAAACTCATACTGACAGCTGGGTTCAAACCTTTGACCTCCAACATGCAAGGCACACGCCTAAGCCATTACACCACACACGTAATAATACATTGAAACAAGTTCCATAGTCCCCCTCCCCTAGATGCATTATAGCTGTATTATAAATGAAGTGATGACTGATATTGCGAATCTATGGTAAGGTAACATATTAGTAATACATGTATCCTGGGTAATTATTTTACAGTCGCCTTTAAAATGAAAAGTATTGAGATAAGGAGATCTGAAAAAGACTCCCCGCATGGTCACTGTAAGGCTAGAGCGACCACAGCAACCATAGTTTCAGTTGCTTAGTTTTTCAGTGAACAGAAACTTTGACCATACAATGATGTGAAAAATCGTCACACCGAATAAAGTCAGGCCTTTCCAACACTGCCCCGGACTGGCCATTCACCAGAAATTAACCTGTGCACTTAGAAGAGGATCTTCACCCATTTCCCCCTTTCCCCTACCAAATAAAAAAAGAATAACATGGGCTTCAGATTCTTGTTCTGTCCCATCACTAAGTACTTTTAATTCTTGATGTCTGTTCATTCATATCTAGCTTTGAGTGTATATATGTGATGCAGTGTGTAAATAATGACCACAAATTACTGTCATCCCTAATTTCAGATTAGTTGGGGAAAGTCTGGCTGGCAGTTATTAGCAATTTTCTGGCACTTTAGGCCTTTAATATGTAACATTTGATATCCCCAGTATTGCAGTTTAATACTGAACAAAGTTACTACATTTCTGCGATTTCTATATTGCCCCCATGTGCCTGTACATGTGATCACATACTGTAACTGATTTTCAGCATTTTAACACACACATAACAAACCCGCTTCTACTAATATTGCAAATCAGTTGCAAGTTGCTTTCATTTCCACAAAACGCCCATTTCTTCCAAATGTTTTCCTCACCTGAAGGTTTAATTCCCTCACTCTGAGTTCTGAGAAATGTAACTTTACCTGACTGCCTTTTTCATGTTTTTCCTGCCACACTCTATATGTCATGTCATGTCATTTTTCAAACCGCTTATACCATACTGTGTCACGGGAAGCCAGAGCCTACCCAGTAAGCAATGAGCGCAAGGCAGGGTACACCCTGGACGGGATGACAGTCCATCACAGGGCAAGTACAAGCCAATCATACATGGGGACAATTTGGAGGCCACGGTAAAGGCCGTGGAGGGAAATTTGGCCCAGATACCAGGATAACTCCCTACTCTAATCAAGAAATGCCCAGGGATCTGAAATTACCACTGAGAGTCAGGACCTCAGTTTAACGTCTCATCTGAAAGATGGACATTATTTGAAATGTTACAGTACACTATATGCTGTTACTTCACTATAATTTCTAGGCCATTCTGTCTATTCTTAGAGAGCACAAAGACTGTACCTTTGGCATAAGCTGCATTTCCATAAGCCATAAATAAAACTATATGGAAAGGAATTTATATTTTTCTGTTATGTTCACAGACTATGGCTTCCCAGTTCTTTCATGGCAGCACAGAGTGGGACAGGACCCAACACTTTCTCACATCTGTTTACATTCATTTCCACAAAGCAACCACTTGTTTTCAAGCACGTTTACCTCACCCGAAGGTAAACTTGGGCTCTGAAAAATGTAACTTTACCTGACTTTGTAAACGGAACTTTTACCATGCCTTTTTCATGCATTACTTCATGTGATTAAGTTTGTGATCTTTTATAGCATTAAGCATTCCCAAGACTCAATATGTTAAACCATCTCTCCCTGTCTAAGTACTCTATACAGTGCTTGGAGAACCATACCATAATACAGTAGTAATATGAAGTAACAGTAATACATTAGTATTACTAATTAACTTGGTAGTAATGCTTCTTAAGCCTCCACTTCTTATAAATGAAGCTAAGCATTTGTTTTACATTTGTACCTTCTGTTGTTTCCATTTGTATTTTACCTAGTATTTATAACATGCAATAACTTGAAGAAAATGTTGGCTCAGAAGAGGTCCTTATACATTCAGCATTCAGAATATATGCTATAGTACCAAGGTACTTAGTATTGAAAGCTAAGAAACGGTGGTTTCTAAAATCCTGCATATACGAGGAGAGTAATTTCTGAAATGTGTTTTGAAAACAAATGAGAATATTTTAGAATCTGTACATTGGTGGAAATATTTGAACAAGGAGCAAAGCAGATTTCTTTTTTTTAATAAGATGAGGTATGCAGTTTGTTTCTTTTTGCTTGACAGCTGAAAAATGTTAAACCTTTTGTGTCTGGGAGTGGGAAGAGCCACAGGTCTTATATCCAAATTGGAGTATGAAAGATTCTGAGTTTTTTTTTTCATTTTTCATAATCAGGAATATGTTCCTGATTTTCCCCCATAATTTGCAAGACATTAATTTTACAAAGTTTGTTTTTGTTTGTTTTTTCAAGTTTAATTCAAAACATAAGACAAATCTGAAAGAACATTCTATGAACTGAAAGCTTAGTGAAAGCTTTATTAGAATCACAATAGCATAGTGCAGGAAAATAAAAGATAATTGCTAGTGACAAATAAATGGTGACACATTTTAACGAGACAAAGAAATAATGAGGGCTGGGGTAACTAATCTTTTAATTAATTAATCACGAGACCTTGTTCTTGCACCTTCAAAATAGGATACAAAAGTGTACTCTTTCTCCAGAAGCATAACTTCCTGTGAATTCCTCAGGATAGTATTGTAACATACTTACAATATACTTATTGTAACATTCAAATAATGTGTATCAGGGAATAAAACCTGACAGAAAAGGTCAATTGAATCTTTAGCTTGTTTTTAAAAGGATGTTATTGTGAATTGTGTGTGAGAAGGTGTGCATGCAGTCTAATGTGGTGCTTGATTACATGAACACCACTCTCAGGCCTGGCTCCAGGGGTGGGGCTTATTGTCCCTAATCTGGTCTGGGCAGGGTTTTCTCAGTTTTTAATGGAACCATCATGGGAGTCCAGTTTGGGTCATCCTTTGTCCGGCCCCCCACCATAGGCCAATTTGCCAAACGTAACCCTACCAGGAGCACAGCGCTCCAGACAACATGGGGGCACTTCAGCTCTTCCACCACAACAAGGTCACTGTTCCAGAAGGGGATACTGTACAGTATATCTCTATTATCTAGCCTGGGAGCACCTGCGAATCCCCCAGGAGGAGCTGGATGCTGGTGCTAGGGAGGGGGAAAGCTTCTCAGCATTACCACCTCGACCCTCACCAGGAGGTTAGAAAATGAAGGAAATATTAAAAATAATATCCTAGGATAACTGTTCATTAGTATTATGTCATTCAGAGTATGGAATTGTGTTGTACAGTGTACAGTATGTGCAAAGAGTCAATTGCCATATCAGAAAGACTAAACAAGGAACGATTACATCAGAACATGGCAAGTACAAACATGTCAAACAGGGGGTGATGTGCTTTCAGATCAGACAAAAAGGGTACAATGAAGAAAAGGGATCATCTCAGTGAAAACTGAAAATGGAGTGAGTTTCTATTCAACAGTATTGCTTCAGTTGTCCTTTTTTTACTTTGTGGAAGACCCTGCCAGGTCAGCGTGATCCCACATTGAAGACTGTAGTTTAAACATGGAAAACATGTTTAGTTCTTTCATCAATGATATCTGGAGTTCTGTAGGGAACATTCTAGGTTTTTGGAATTTACAGAGATCAGTAAAAGTAGTTATAACACTCAGGAAAGACTTTTCAAGTAACTTTCTACACAAATCAGCGCTTAGCATGTCCAATTACATTTCTGTTTGCTTCACATCCTGTACAAATTACCTCAGAACTTGTCTGGTATAATTTGTAGGCTTGAGGAAATTCGCCTTCTCTGTGGTATGTTTAAATATTTCCAGTAGGATGGGGTCATTTGGTTGATTAATTTAATGTCAGATGAATTGAAAAAAACCTCAAGATTTGAAAGATTCAGGTCACCAT